GAAGGGGGGGGGGGTTCCTACAAAATGACACAACTCATGGGTAAATGGATTTTGATCAAATAATAAGTAAACTTTGTATCCGTGGCGGCACGGCACAGGAAGGAGGAGTCGAGTCAAGGGATTACGCAATGCAGTGGGTGACGGGAAAGGAGCGGGAAGGGAGGCCGGGAAGGAAGTCGCCACCACCAAGACAGACAGCGAGGAGGAGGAGGAGGGCACGTTTCGAGATGAGCGAAGGGGAGGAGGAAGGAGGAGCACCGGGCAGGGAGGGGAAGGAGAGGAGGAGGTGAAGGAGTGGTGGAGAGAGGGGAGGGAAGAGAGGGTGGTGGTGAGGGATGAGAGGGCGGTGGTGAGAGGGTCGTGGTGGTGAGGGAAGAGAGGGTGGTGGTGGTGGTGAGAGGGTGGTGATGGTGAGAGGGTCGTGGTGGTGAGAGGGTCGTGGTGGTGGTGGTGAGAGGGTGGTGGTGGTGGTGAGAGGGTGGTGGTGGTGGTGAGAGGGGGGTGGTGATGGTGGTGAGAGGGTGGTGATGGTGGTGAGAGGGTGGTGGTGGTGTGATGGTGGTGAGAGGGTGGTGATGGTGGTGAGAGGGTGGTGGTGGTGAGAGGGTGGTGGGAGAGTGCGGGAGAGAGCGAGAGAGAGCGAGAGCGACATGGAGTAGGAAGAGAGGGGGTAGAGAGAGAGGGGGGGCAGAGAGGGGGTAGAGAGAGAGGGAAGGGGTAAGGAGAGCAGAGCGAGAAATATTTTGTTAAATCTTTCTTTTTAAAAGGGGGGGGCACATAAAGCAAAGCATTAAAAAAAACGAGATGATGAAGGAAGAAAAGTGCCGACTACACCGAGCATCTTCTGTTTTCCTCTGATCGAAAAAAAGAGGGTAGTGGTGAGAGGGGAGGGAAGAGAGGGAGGAGAGAGAAGTAAGCCTCAATGAGGATCGGCGTCTGTTTTCACAGTGGGCGGTAGTGGAGGGATCCAGAGTGGGGGAGGGGAGCCCACACAAGAGTCACGTGATTGACGGGAGGCTTGAGCCGACGTAGAGAGAGAGAGAGATGATGATGATGAACCGCGTGCCCATTACAGCGAGTGGTGAGCGCAGCTGCTACCACTGGGGCCATCGAAGAGAACCGAAACTTTGGGGTGGAAAGCGGCAAAACAATTGGAAATAACAGAAAGATTAGAGTCTCGGGGAAGAGAGGCATTGCCCTAGGAGCGCCACCATTGCGTCGCACACTGAACGACCCCACCCACGTGGACCATCATCCCCCCTCCTGCCCGCTGCAAGTCTCCCTGGACGTGTCCCGGCCTGTCGCTGTCGTTCTCGGGCTCTTCACGACGAGGGCTCTCGCGAGTCACTGGAGCGTGGCCTCAGCCCACGCAAAGACAAAAATCCCCCCCACCGTGTAGCCCTGCAGCGGAGTGTCGGGGCAAGTGCTGCTGTTAGCGAGCTGTGGTGGTGTCACGGTGTCGGTGTGTGCGTCTGTGTGTGTGTGTGTTTAGTGAGCCTTCGACACTTCACGTGGCCTCAAAGTGCACCTTGCCTGGCGCAGCCGCCGTGGTCACGCCAGCGTCACCTAGTGGCGAATGGCTGGGATTGGTTATTGGTTTGTGGGTTAGGGGGGCAGTGTGTGAGTGGGGAGCGGTAGTGTAGTGGTGAGCGCAGCTGCGCTACGAACCCGGCGACCCGAAGTTAGAATCCCGCTCACGGCGCAACACCAGTGACGATTTATCTGAACCGGCCGTGGGCATCCCTCTAGGTCGACTCAGCATAAAAATGCGTACCTGGTACGGTGTGAAAAACTTGGATAATGGGGTGAGACAAAAGCGGCCGGGCGTGGTGCTGGCCACCCACCCCCTCGTGTGCAGTGCCGGCCTTCATAGGTGCTACTCGCTAACAGCACTTGCCCCTACAGTCTGTTACAGGCTGCACGGGGGCGTGGGGGGGGGTCTTTGGAGGCTGTTGTTGGTTTACTGTTGACACGCGGGCTCCCCGGGACTCCCCGGGGCTAATGACGCAGCCAGCACTGAGTCCCACGGGTTGCCGAATGCGGTTTCCGTTGACAAAGCCGTCACCCTCCGTGCTCGCGTGCGCGAAACCCACCCACCTACCCACCTACCCTGCTACCAGCCATTCCCCTACCCTGCTACCAGCCATTCGCCTACCCTGCTACCAGCCATTCCCCTACCCTGCTACCAGCCATTCCCCTACCCTGCTACCAGCCATTCTCCTACCCTGCTACCAGCCATTCGCCTACCCTGCTACCAGCCATTCCCCTACCCTGCTACCAGCCATTCCCCTACCCTGCTACCAGCCATTCCCCTACCCTGCTACCAGCCATTCCCCTACCCTGCTACCAGCCATTCCCCTACCCTGCTACCAGCCATTCCCCTACCCTGCTACCAGCCATTCCCCTACCCTGCTACCAGCCATTCCCATACCCTGCTACCAGCCATTCCCCTACCCTGCTACCAGCCATTCCCATACCCTGCTACCAGCCATTCCCCGACCCTGCTACCAGCCATTCGCCTACCCTCATTTTAATTTTCTCATTTTGGTTTATTCTCAAACCCGCCACGAGGGGGCACGGTAAGAGCACGCGTGTTCACCTCGCAGTGTCCAGGTGTTAATGTCATTGTACACGTGAGTACACAGCTGTGAACCCATACGGTTTACCCGTATTCTTGTACAGGGAAATTTAGTTTTCAGGTCCATGCGGCGTACAGCCGTTCCAATATGAGCAAAACTTGTTTTGTCTACCTGTGTGTTCTTCCTTGTGATGGGACTTTGTGAGATGAACGTTGGGATTTATAAGGGCACGGGGTGACCAATACGGTCTGCAATAAGGAAGGCACTGATAAGGAGTTGACAGGTTTGCTAGTTGTAGTCTCATCCATAGAGCTGGAGCAGCGATTCTTAATCTATGCTGCAGCCTTGCCACCCTTTGGTTCTCAATTCTATTTTTTCTTCATATAATATTAATAAATACATCGGGTTTGATTTAACAAGGGTAGTTGATATGATCATTTTTAATTAAGCCATCTCAAGATGACTTGCTTTACAAACGCCCCAAAGTGTAGAGGGCGCAAGGTCACCACGAGCTCAAGAGCACGTGGCGGCGGGCTGGGCCACGGGCACGTCACCACGCGCGTAGCTCCTCCTCCGCCGGCTGGCCCTGCTGCGGCCCTCCTCCACTGCGACGTTCATCGTCCACCGCCGATGGCTCCGGCGACCGGACGGGCCCCGCCACGCGCTCCGCCGCGGGTGAAGCGGGCAACCCCTTCGCCGAGCCCTCGCTCGCTCGTGGCCCGGTTCGGCCTCCACAACGTCTTGCCGTAACGTGGCCTGCGTTTTGAGTAGCGCAAGCTTTCGAATTGAGTTTGGAGTTTGACAGGGTCACCTGCGGGCCCCCACGGCGAGCTAGTGGGCGCCTGCGTCTTCACGATGCTGTAGCGAGTGCTGTCCCAGGTCCTCCTGGAACCGGCCGGGCAAAGATTCTGACGGGGGTGGGAGTGTGGCGTCTGGTCAGCGTGGAACTGTCAGCCGAGTAACCCAGGAGAGGGAGCTCTAGAGGGTGGTGTGAACAGCGCGATTGCGACGTCACTGGAAGTGCCTGGTCCCACAATGCACCTTGCTCACGATGTAGCCGAAGTGCCTGTTCCCACAATGCACCTTGCACACGATGTAGCCGAAGTGCCTGTTCCCACAATGCACCTTGCACACGATGTGGCCGAAGTGCCTGGTCCCACAATGCACCTTGCTCACGATGTAGCTGAAGTGCCTGGTCCCACAATGCACCTTGCTCACGATGTAGCCGAAGTGCCTGTTCCCACAATGCACCTTGCTCACGATGTAGCCGAAGTGCCTGGTCCCACAATGCACCTTGCTCACGATGTAGCTGAAGTGCCTGTTCCCACAATGCACCTTGCTCACGATGTAGCCGAAGTGCCTGGTCCCACAATGCACCTTGCTCACGATGTAGCCGAAGTGCTTGTTCCCACAATGCACCTTGCTCACGATGTAGCTGAAGTGCCTGTTCCCACAATGCACCTTGCTCACGATGTAGCCGAAGTGCCTGGTCCCACAATGCACCTTGCTCACGATGTAGCCGAAGTGCTTGTTCCCACAATGCACCTTGCTCACGATGTAGCCGACGTGCCTGTTCCCACAATGCACCTTGCTCACGATGTAGCCGAAGTGCCTGTTCCCACAATTTTTATCAATCAAAAGTGATTTCTTTTTAACACGTAATGAGATGCTTACCGGACATCTTGGTTGGCAAATGAGTTCACAAGACACAGTACACGTGGATAAGACCTTCCAAATGACGCACGAGGAGCTGACTGATGATGCTGTGGGGCCTGTAGCATTGAACGCGAGGTGACTGCGCAGAGATTATTCCATCATAATGCTTTTCCTACGCATTTTTGGACTAGATCTGTTGGCCAATGTCCAATAACATCCATGGCAAATTGAGTGGTCAGCGTGGTCTGGACTCCATATAGGTTAACTCAGACTTAAATTAGTACACAGAGGGTTGAGATATGGCCTTAGCCACACCATCCACCCTCCTCGTACCGTGTCAGCCTTAATAGGTGCTCCCTAACAACACTCGTGGCAAGAGCCTTTTAAGTGAAACAGAGAGCGTGTGTCAGTGTGTTTACATTCGCATTGTCTACTCTACCTCTCTGACCTACGTGCTGTGAAGGAGGGCCGTTGCCCGAAACGTCGTATACTTTTCCTTTGTAATGCCACGCGGATTTGTTGTTGAGTGTCGTAGCAGAATCATCACAAAACAATGTCTTTATATACAGTATATATCTACTTTCGAGTACAGTAACGCGTATTGATCCGCTCATAATTTTAAGAGTATACCGATGTCTGCATTTTGACGAGTATTTATACGCTCATTTATTTTCCTCTCCAAACTATAATTTGTACACATTTCCCAAAGTCATTCAATGCCATTGCCTGATGTTACACCCCCCCCCCCCATTTCCACAATGGTAGCATCTGCAAGCGGCTGGCAGCAGACTAGGCAATGGGAGCTACCACAGCCATCAGGGGGGGGTCTCTGGAGCAGATTGTGGAGTGCGACGGAGACGACGACGGCGAGGTGTTCGTGTCGCCTCGGTCCGGTCAGAGCCCCAGCGTGGACGTCCGCTTCCCAGGTGTGGCGACCTCACGGTCCTCACGGCACTGACGGCCCTTACGGCATTGACGGCATTGACGGCTCTGACGGTCCTAACGGCACTGACGGCCTTGACGGCCCTTACGGCCCTGACAGCCCTCACGGCACTGACGACCCTGACGGCGTTGACGGCATTGACGGTCCTAACGGCCCTGACGGCCCTGATGGCCCTGACGGCATTGACGGCTCTGACGGTCCGAACGGCCCTGACGGCATTGACGGCATTGACGACATTGATGGTCCTAACGGCCCTGACGGCCCTGATGGCCCTGACGGTCCTAACGGCCCTGATGGCCCTGATGGCCCTGACGGCCCTGATAGCCCTGACGGCCCTGACGACCCTGACAGTCCTGAAGACCCTGATGGCCCTGATGGCCCTGATGGCCCTGACGGTCCTAACGGCCCTGACGGTCCTGACGGTTCTAACGGCACTGACGGCCCTGACGGCCCTGATAGCCCTGACGGCCCTGACGACCCTGACAGTCCTGAAGACCCTGATGACCCTGATGGCCCTGACGGTCCTGACGGCCCTGACGGCCCTGACGGCCCTGACGGCACTGAGGGCCCTGACGGCCCTGATGGCCCTGACGGTCCTAACGGCCCTGACGGCCCTGACGGCTCTGACGGCCCTGATGGCCCTAACGGCACTGAGGGCCCTGATGGCCCTGATGGCCCTGACAGTCCTAACGGCACTGAGGGCCCTGACGGCCCTGACGGACCTCTCCGTGCCTTCCACACGTGGGGGCACCGAAGGCAATACACCCAGTGCACCACGTGGCTAACGTTGCCCCAACATCATCGGCATGCCGACGTTGGAACCGTTGGACCAACGTTGGCCATACGTTGGCCTAATGTTAATATCGATTTTTGTGTATCTTTTAGTTTGTTGTCCTTCCCCCGCACCTCCGATGAACACGGTTAGCTACGTGCAATGCGAAACAAGTTCAACATGCATGCGTACAATGTTCCATGTGTACTGGGTATTTAGCCTGGTCCCTTCATTGCCCAGAAATCCCAGTGCAGGTTCCCCTCACTCTGTGCGGCTCTAGTAGTTGTAGTAGATGCGTTCCAAATATTGGGGCGCACACAGTACACACACAGCACACACACAGAACACACACAGTACACACACAGTACACACATCGAGAACGCACACAGTACACACACAGTACACACACAGAACACACACAGTACACACACAGCACACACACAGTACACACACAGTACACACACAGTACACACATCGAGAACGCACACAGTACACACATCGAGAACGCACACAGTACACACACAGTACACACACAGTACACACACAGTACCCACATCGAGAACGCACACAGTACACACACCAGTACACACACAGAACGCACACAGTACACACACAGTACACACACAGAACGCACACAGTACACGCACACAGCACACACACAGTACACACACAGTACACACACAGCACACACACAGCGCACACAGTACACACACAGTACACACATCGAGAACGCACACAGTACACACACAGTACACACACCGATAACGCACACAGTACACACACAGTACACACACACAGCACACACACAGTACACACACAGCACACACAACATGCAACGTTGTCCCACGTCCGATCACGTAGCCGCATCTGGGTAAATTCAAACCGCGCAATGTAGCGAATTTTGCGTAGAAATCACGGTTTGGGGCCCTCCCCAACCCTCCTAGCGGCCGCGTGGCGTGCTCGGGGTTCGGCCGGGCCCCCCGAGACGTCCGTCGCCAGGGAAGCCCTCGATCGCTCCCCGCTCGCAAGTCGCCAGCTCGTTGAGGTTCGGTGCGAGCAGGCGAGTGAGCGAGCGACCGCCACCCTCGCGAAACGAACCTTCTCGCCCTCGTGTAAAGCGTCCAGCGATTAGGCCGCTGGTGGGACAGGGCCAGCGGCTGAGACGTTTGTTCCACACGGCCAGCATCGCCAGTTTGCCGGGTAAACATGCGTTAGTAGGATAACAATAATGCAAAATTATGGAAACGGTAGTCGTAGTAACAGGGCGGTGACGTGGCCGCAGCGGTAGGGCGCTCGCCCGATCGTTGTTAAAGGGGTTCGCGGTTTGATTCGCGCGGCATCCATGGTTAATACTACGGGGGGGGGTGGGGGTAATGACGGTAATAATAATAACGATAATACTACTACAGCGCACATCGGGCGGTAAAAAAAAACCCGTGGCGTCATTCCCCATTGTGTATCGGCGTCGTGCCCCAAAATAAATAATATATATAAAGTATAAAATTACGTGAAGCACAATTAACAAAACAAAACCCATCAGCACATTCGTCAATAAAACATATGTATGCATATAAATATATAACAGGTGACGTTTCAGGCTACCGCCCTTCTTCATGGCACACAAATGAAATATCACCCGCAAATTACATAATTGCGATAGACGCACGTCAATCATCGCACCCGCCTGCAAACACTTGGCAGGACCCTCCTGAGACTCAGGAATCACCTCTAATTAACAATAAAAATCATGCTGATATTAATGTCATTGTAAACCTTCCCTTTGCAGTGGTAGAGGTGCCAGAGGAAGGCTCCGACGTCACGAGCCCTGGGGCTGAGAGGAGCGGGGACGAGGAGGAGGAGGAGAGGGGCGAGGGGCTTGGGAAGGTATGCTACCGACCGGTGCGTGTTGTGTGACCACAGCTAAGGCTCGAACAGACTGTGCTGTTTGCGAGCACCTATTAGGGGGCCGTCCATAAATAACGTCACGCACTTATGGGGGGGGGGTCAGACATTTGTTACTGTGTCACGGGGGGGGGGGGGGTTTGAGAAATGTGACGTCACATCAAAATGCGCAACTTTAAAATAAATATAGACAACACGTTCTACTTAATTATATAGACTTTTTTTTAGAAATGTTTTCTCCTACAACATCAGAGTGCAGCGCCACATTAAATACGCGCTACAATGACAATAGTTTAAAGCGATTTGAAGCATGTTTTATATATATTTTTTTTGGGGGGGGGGGCGGCAGAGCTTTGTGACGTCATATTTGAGGGGTTGTCTGACTCTTTGTGACGCTGTGATTTATGGACGGCCCCTAAGGCCGGCACGGCACGCCCTAGGAAGTTGGTGTGGCCAGAACCACGTGCTGTCACCTCCATCTCACCAGTGTTTACACCCCCTCGGCCCGCCCGACGAACTAATAATTTGAGACCGAGTCGACCTAGGGGAGGCCCAGAGCCGGGTGCCTGCTATCACTCGCCACTAATTTTGGCTGTGGCCGGGAATAGAAGTCACGGCGGTGCGCGAGGGGCCTCTTCTCCCCCGATGGTGGCCGGGGGGGGGGGGGGCGTTGTTTCTCCGGCCACACCACCCCAGCGCGTGCGTCGTGCCGGCCCAAATTGGTGCTTCAAGTTCACTTTGTCTGACCAGGTGAGAACTTGCTAACAGCGGTTGTCCCCAACAGTCTACTATGGGGGATCTTTTTTTCTTCGTGTGTGTGTGTGTGCAGAGGCCGGCAGTGCGGTGGTGAGCGCACTGCCGCGTTCCACGCCTAGCGACCTGAGCTCGATTTTCGCCCCCCCCCCAACGCACATCAGCGGCGAGTTATATATCAGCACCGGCCTTGTGTCTCCCTTAGATCGACTCAGTGTGTAAACGTCAACACTGAGGGGTACGACAGCGCCGCAGTGCGGCCGTGGCACTGACCGGGACACCCTCTCCGTGCCGTCCCTCGCTTAACAGCCCTCGTCCCAACGGCCTGCGTGGGCCACACGTGGTGTGGGGTGGGGGGCTCCTGTCTATGGCCTTCGCCGTGTCTGTGGGTGCCCGTTGCCGGAGGCCTACAACAAGCGCCGCGAACTGTCCCCTGCGAGGACGTTGCTGCGTGCAGAGCCGTGCCTAGTGGGGGTGGGGAGGGGGGGGTTGGGCGAATCGGGGTGACCGCCCCGGGCCCCGTGCTTTGGGGGGGGGGGGTAGGGAGGGCCGCGGCTACGCTTTGACGTCACGCAGTCAGATGTAATAGTTCCGGTTTAGTGAGGTTTGCTCCGGGCTCTCGCACCCCCACGGACGGCCCTGTCGGCGTGAGCGTCTGCGTCAGTGCCGGAATCAGCTCGTGCGGGGCCTGTAGCGCGATGTTATAAAGGGGCCCTAAATTAAAAAAAAACGCATAAATATTAAAACACAAATGTTTGACTTCCATAGTAAAGTAATTGTATTTTTTTCATTTGCTATACAACCAGATAATACGACAAATCGCTAACCTTAAACACCCAGTCGTTCATAAAAGTTGAAGGCGGTATAGTACTATAGCGATAGAGCAAGTGCAGAATCAGTGAACCGGAATTTATAGCTTGCAGGATACTCCGGCGCTGGTCCGCGTGCGCACACGTCACGGGGCTGTCGCTCGCGTGCTCATTAAAGGGCCCCGCGCTTTGAAGGCGACCGGTGCGTGTCGCGTTTTACCCTCCTTGACAAATGACTTTGAGCCCGAGGCAGGAGGGCGGGGCCGCGGCATTGCCCACCCCGCCCCACTGCCCAATTTCCCTGCTCGGCTAGACTGAGCTCACGCACCGTGTGACTTAGCATCGCTGGCTAGCGCCGGACCGCTCAACAGATAGCAAGTCGAGAACATTTCAGAGAGAGAGAGATAGATACAGGGACTCCTCTACTTACGAACGAGTTAGGTTCCAGAGGTCTGTTCGCAAGTCGATTTGTTCGTAAGTCCAACTTTACTCCTGTTGATTCCAAACATGTTGTACGGCATGGACACTAAACACGGGGAATGGCTTTAAAAGTTGTATAATCTCCTGTAGATGTTGATGCCACTGGCACTTTATGTTCTGCAGTGTAGATGCCGCTGGTTCTTCACGTTCAGCAGATGTAGATGCCACTGGTTCTTCACGTTCTGTAAATGTAAATGCTACTGGTTCTTCATGTTCAGCAGATGTAGATGCCGATGGTTCTTTACGTTCTGTAGATGTAGATGTCGATGGTTCTTCACGTTCTGTAGATGTAGATGCCCCTGATTATTCACGTTCTGCAGATGTAGATGCCACTGGTTCATGTTCTGTAGATGTAATGCCACCACCACCATCTATTCCGCGGCAGTTGAACTTACGCCTCTTGGGCCGAACAAGCAACTGAGTCCCTGCCTAACCAAGGGTTGGTCAACTGCGGGTCGCTTAGCAGCGGAGAGAGAATGGTCGCTGACGATGAATGCCGTTTGTTCTGCGGCTGCCTCCATGTTTGGCGCTTAGGGATAGTGGAATGGTTCGGTTTAGCGGTGCGAGCAGCTCACAAGTCGGAAGGTGCGAGTTCAAATCCTGGCTGGGGAGCTTCACTCAGTCCCTCGTCCGTCATTACAATTAGTACCCACTTTTTCAGGAAGTCAACAAGTGGAATCTACACGCTGGCTCAGTGCTATAAATAGGAGATAATTTGAGCAGCGAATCGCTTTGAGTAGTGGCGCAAACTGCAATATGAGCCCGGCGATGTGAATTAAATTCCTGGTCACGGCTAACGCCGGTGGCGAGAGATTTGTGAACCGCTCCTGGCACCCCCACCAGCACCGACAACCCCCCGCAAGGCTGACACGACACTGGGAGAGGACGCTCATCCAGCAGCGGATCACCAAACGTTTGTAATCATAAAAAAACAATTATTTTAGTTACCAAGCTGACTTAGTAGAGAAGTGGATATACAGTTTTTACTCTCGCCAGCAATTGCCTCGGCTGCCGGGAGACCGCCGTCACGCCAGCCGTGCCGCTGCATTATTGATGGAGCGAGAGCTGCGTGCTGCTCGCGATTTCGAAATGAAACGGAGCCGCCACGGGTTAGCGGCGGTGCGTGCCGTGCGGGGCCGTTTCTAATCTTGACGGCGGTTTGACAAAAGCACCGCACCGAAACGCTCGCCTGTTAGACGGAGCTATTAAGAGTGGGCGTTCGGGTCGGTGATCCTGTGATTAGCGATCACTGTTTGGTTATTACGCACGAGATTAGCCATCTCTGTTACACGCGCGCACGAGCACACACGCGCGCGGCTTCCTCCTAGAATCTTGGGCCCGGTGAGGAATGCCAGAAGTTGAAAGATGTTGCATGGGAATGTTTGAATGTCATTCGAGACGTCGCAGACTGCTCCGTTCTTTGAGCCATTTTATCAGAAATTGTACGCAGGTCGGTAAAATAAAGTTGCCCACCCAGTTAAAAAAAAAATAACGGAGACAGGTCCTGAGCCTCGGCTCACAGCGGTGGATCTGCACCGATCATCCCCCGTGGGAGTAAAAGACGCCGGGGCTAGGGGGGCGTTTGCGTGGCGGGGTTACAATATGACCCCAGGCGCTTGTGCAGCAGTGGAAGTGGCTGTCAAGCCGGTTTAGAGGCGAGAGCTCTGAGCAGCTCAATGCGCTTGATTTGGGGGGGGGGGGGGGGGGATCTGCCCGTGCTTTCGCGTGGGACTCACGGTCGGGGGGTGAGGGGGTGATGGGGGGGGATGCTTGACGTCGGCACTAATCAGGGACCCCCCGGCTCAACGCTGTGGGATGCTGGCGATGTCACCGCATCACTGGTCCCGTCCGTGAGCCTTCCATCCCATCCAGCCCACTTCCTCCTCGCACTCCGTCCACTGTGGTGTCCCCGACCTGAGTGTCCCTCTCTCGCCCTTGGCCCTTCCTTTTTCTGTTCCTCCGACTGTGCACCTCTCCCCACCTCTCCAGCTGTTGCTGCATCGATCTTCTTTGTCGGCGGGTCTCACGTTTCTGATTCGTAAACAGGGCACCGTGCGCTGGTAGGAGCCCGGTTGGTGAATTGGCGGTGGAGGTTCTGGGGAACGGGTGGTGTGCAAGGCTCGCCACTGATGTTAGCCGTGGCTAGGAATCCAACCTCGGGTCGCCGGGTTTGTGGTGCGGTGCACTAACCACTGAATCACTGCCCCCCCCCCCGCCCGCCACCAATTATTGCATTTGACTAAATCTACAAAAAAACAACGCAGACAACGATAATCACCGAACACAACAACAGCCGCCATGAACCGTCGGTGGTGTCACCACAGCGCTAGTGCCAGGCAAGGTGCACTTTGAAGCCGTCGCGTGAAGCGTCAGAAGGCTCATTGCTGGTATGTCATGCATCACTCTCCCGCTGCCCTATCACCTCCACCTTGCATTCTTTTTTCATGTTCTCATTCATTAACTCCCCGGCTGCCCCCCCCCCACTAACCACTACCTTCCGGAGCCACTTCTTGAGTTCACCAATTTCCTCGCCCCTTGATTAAGGAGACTCACAAACATTCGTATCCCCACTGATGTCCAATCTCCGTGTCCATCAGACCCCATGCCATGCCGAACGATCGATGGCAATCCGATCTCTTTAGGCGGACCGGCTACCCGGGGACTTGCTATCGGTCGCTTACACATGCGTGGTATTAAAATATTAATGATACAGTAGTCCCTCGGTTAACAGTGGCATCGGTTAGCGGTTTTTCGGTGAACGTTTCGTCTCCCATAGGGACCCCATGGTTTCGACTTAAGGATAAAACATTTCAACGGTACGGTTTTACGTCATGCACGCGGTGGAGCCAATTTCGGCCAATCCGAGTGCTCGTAAGTGGGGCTGACCCACGCCCTCAGCCAATCAGCGACGCCCATTTATGAGCGTTTAGACCTCGACTG